GTGTGTGTGTGTGTGTGTGTGTGTGTGTGTGTGTGTGTGTGTGTGTGTGTGTGTGCACATTTGAATATCTATTCGCTTCTAAGTGTTTCTTTTTTGCATAAGCGAGCTCTCGCAAAGTGCATAACAAAGACAAAAAAAAAAATGATGTTCAAGACGTTCAAACCCACATTTCACCAGATATATATAATCACTGTGTGAGAGCATGTCTCCACACACACATGCACACACACACAGAAACATGTGCTGCAGATTTGTGAGGGTTGTGTGCATCTTCTGGAAGGGATTTGCAGAAGATTGCAGTGAACACGGCGCAGGATTTCTGTCATCATTGAACACATGGGGAGAGGAGTCTGCCTTGACAGCAGCATTGACAGATTGCATGAATAATTTAGGAACAAAGTGAGAGGCCTCATAGACCTCTGAATCACTGGCAGTGACAGCAGCCTGCTCCTGACTTTGGTTCCCCTCTTATCTTTTCGAATGCATATTATTTCCATAAATACCTTCCTCTTACATCTCGAAGCTCTGTCCGAACACAAAGGGCACGACACCAGATTACCGACCTGGAAACAGAGGCTCTGGCCTCAGCAACATTGCAGTGTAACATTTGGAAACCAATGAGAACAATCTCCATCCAGGAGGCATCCTTACCAGATGCCCGAGCCACCTCAACTGGCTCCTCTCGACGTGGAGGAGCAGCGGCTCTACTCTGAGTCCCTCCCGGATGACTGAGCTTCTCMCCCTATCTCTAAGGGAGAGCCCAGCAACCCTGCGGAGGAAACCCATCTATTAATCTAAAATAAATAAAATATTTCCATCTGATCATCATCTCAGATCTAGACACCATACATCTCCAGGAGCTGACAGCGCTTTGAAGGGTTAAGGACAGGAGGCTTTGGAGCATCTGAGAGGCGCAGCTGAACTAGTGGTGCAGTGGGAGCGGATGCTGCAGGAATTCCTCCTGCTAAAGCAGGTTGTGGGATTAAGAAATAAAGTCTTGCTGACTTCTGATCACTTCGACTGGAGAAAAGTTTTCTGATTTTAAACCTTTGGCTGAAGTGGTGCTTGTTATTCCAACAGTGTCGCAGCAGAGCGCGGGTTTAGTCTTCAGAACCACTGGTGCCTGTAGATGTAGACTCACTGTGCGCAACTTGAGATTTTCCTTAGAGTTAAAACAATTATAATTATTAGACTTTTTATTGCATAAATCAAATCCATACTCTTCTTCTGTTTTTATTTAATAATATTTTTAACACAGTGGCAGCAGCACATTGTGATTAACAGCTGACTGTATCTCTGCCTTTATGCCTTTCTCTCTTCTCTCATCCTGCAAAGGAGGCAGAAACAAAAATAAGGAGGCATTATCTAATGTTGCAAACTTCAGCCACTAAATAACTTTTGTGGATTTTTTTGTTTTACTTTTCGTAATGTAACTGAGTCAAAAGCGGGACAGTGTGTGTGTGTGTCACATTGTGTGCGTTCGACCTGGTGTGGGACAGATGCGCTGTTTTTCAGCACCATGCACGCACATTGCGCTCATGTGGCCTGTAGTGTGAGGTGCACTGATGAGATTTTCTCCAATAAAATCTGATAAAATAGTCAAGGACTCACGGGGCAGACTAAAAAATTCATAATGCCTCTCTGGTATTGTTCAGGGGGCCGGGCCAAATGTGGAGGCGGGCCCGCAGGCCGTAGTTTGGGGACCACTGCTTTATTACTTTGTTAGTGTCCTTTAAGTGCAACAGTACATCTGGGGGTGGGGGTGTGTGTGTCAGGGTCTTTACTCCCATCCCATTCCCCGACTGCCATTTGGGGAGGGGGTCCGGAAGAAGGGCGGGCCGCCGGGTGTGGTCGTGGGCTGTGGGTGGGCTCGGGGCTTGGACGGTTGCCGGGGGCGGGGCTGGCTCTCCATCCTCCCTGGTGCTGCTTGGTCTCCTGAGGTGTGGCTCTTGGTTCCTGTGGGTGGTCCCCTGGTCGGGGTGGCTGCCTGCTGGGGCTCGGGGCCTCTGGCCCTGTCGGGCTTTGGCCTGGAGGGGGTGCGCCCTGGGAGCCTGGACCTCTGTGCCCTTTCCTGGATCTGCTCTGGTATGGCGGGTGCTGGTGGGGCCCATGAGTTTGTCGCTGCTGGCCCGGGGGACTGTGCAGGTGGTGGCTGGGGGGACTCTCCCAGTTCTCCCCTATGGTCTGATCTGGGGGGTGGGTGGGCAGATCTTCCCGTGCAGGTGTCCCTTGGGGCTCTGCGCTCGGGATCCCTCTCGAGCCCTTGGGCTCTGGTCTTCCCTATGTCTGCCTCGTGTCTTGGGGGCTGGGTCTTCGGTTCTCCACAGTCACTATTAAATATTCCATTGGAGAAATCTTGTATATACACGCATGTTCACAACCGCTCACAAACAGGTGYTCTGATCCGGGGGGTTCTGACTGGTCACTGAGTGTGAATATATGACTGTGTGTTTATACTGACAATATTTATGAATGTAGGCATGTATGTATGTATATCTTTATATACAGCGGGTAAAATAAGTATTGAACATGTCACCATTTTTCTCAGTAAATATATTACTAGAGGTGCTAATGACATGAAATTTTCACCAGATGTCGGTAACAACCCAAGTGATCCATACATACAATGTCCGGAAATGAAATTATTTGTAATAATGTGGAATGGCACAGGGAAAAAGTAT